ATACAAATAAAAATGTAACAGAAAAATATAATAGATAATTATCAAACAATTTAAACTTCAGAATAGAGAGTTGAAACGAAATAAAATGAATGAACAAAATGAAACTACTTTAGGAGTAATTTTCAAAATACATAAAATACATATTTTAAACTCACGTTATAGGCTCAAATAAATAAGATAAAAACGAATGTTTTTTATTTTTCTTTTGTCATTCCAAGTAATAGCAAAATTTGAAAGAAGTATTTTAGTAATTTTCTATTAGACCAGTATACTAGACTACTAGTCTACTACTATCGTTTAATAAAAATTCACGTCATTTAGTTCAGTTTTAAACAAATTATTGCGGTTTAAAAGTTGTACGAATAATTTTCTCCGGTTCTGTAGCTGTATCGGTAAATCCGAGTCGCCAGACGTTACGTTTCATGAAAGGCTGATTTTATCTACGAAATCATTTTAACTACTCGCAAAATGCATTTCAGCCGGAGATAAGAAATTCAGCGACGTGATTAAAGCCACGGAAACAGAAAATAAAGCGGGGTCATAAACTTTTGAATTACTCTTTAGCTACGTATTATCTGATCATTTCGGTACTTTGCAACCAGCGCTCATTACCGAGTGCTTTAATCATTTAAATTGCGTATCGCCCTCTAGATGATGATCGTATAATATTTATTCTATAATTAATATTAAAAAATATTATTAATTAAAATTAAAATGGAAATATGTGAAACGAAACATAAATTACTTTCGAGCATGTGTAAGTTCATATGATCCCATCGTATTTCCTTGCATCAAATGAAGGCAGCTTTTATCTTGCATAAAGATTCACAGTCTAATAATTAAAATCCTAAATAATACAGCATTTCAAAGTTGTTCAAATTATATAAGAAAGAAAGAGATTCGTAAATGACACCTATTCCTTGCATCAAATGGAGACAATTTTTATTTTGTGGATTAAGATCCACAATCTAATTATTGAAATCCTAAACGAAAATAATCTGATACTGCTACCTTAAACTGTTAGTCGAGTGTGACGAAATATTTGTAGAAGTAATACAGTAATTTCTCCCTAATTCGCGCTGAGATTTCAAGACAAAATCATAATGAACATGTTGGAAATTACATCGATGCATCGAAGTGTCATTTGCGAATATAGTGAGGGAGCACGTGAAGCTCTCGTTATTGTTTTTATTCATTTATTGTCTTTGTGTATGTTCATATGTTTTTTCTTAATCTACACTCGTATATTTATTACGCGTTCTTAATAAAATCCCAACAGAATTCACGTGTGAAAATTCGAAATTCGTATTGTTTCGAGACGAAATATTTCCGTAAACATTCGTTCGTACACCAAGAAAAATTGTTTATTATATTTTATACCTAAAAGTCGCAGAACGTGACGAACTACAGTAAAGTCTCCCAAATTGAGGCTCAGCTTGTACATAAAAATGGAGAATTTAGGAAGAGGTGATACGATTATTCGAGCCTTGCGTCGTCTCGTTTTTATAGTTGTTGGCAATAGGTAAAGCAATAAAAAAGCGAGAACTAAAAACTCTAATAATAGTGTCTTCTCTTCCCAAACTGTCCATTTTTATGCGCAATTCGAGGGCGAATTAGGGAGAAACTACCGTATGTGGGATGCATTACATTTTACGTCGCTCTTACACACTGAAACCTAGCGAAACCATATGGTAATACCTTTATATGCAGTAGACTAAGGGTGTCATTCCTTGGCCAGACATCATCTGCTCGCACCCAGCGTCAAAACCATTTAGATAATTTGCAAGACATTTTGCCGATTATTATAACATCTAATTCTTCAAAAGAATGCGAAACCAAGAATTGGAAATTACATTATTCAAAAGGTTTGTATAAAGAATGGAGATTTTGTTATCCCGACTGCGACGTTCCTTTCTGTATGCCTAATCGCCGCAACAAACATACCGTGAAGTAATTATCCGGATTTGTTCAATTGGGTTGGCAACTAAGTAATTGCCGATTTCAGTTATAGATGTCTCTCACTCCCATTTTTATGATATCCGTAAATGTTATATTATAAAATTATTATTATTATTATTATTATTATTATTATTATTATTATGTTATTTTTTATTATCCGTGAATGTTAGCAACTGGACAAATTGAATGCAGCGGTCAAGGAAAAGCGACCAGAATTGGTCAATCGTAAAGGTGTCATTTTCCAGCAGGACAATGCTAGGCCGCACACGTCTTTGTCCACTCGGCAAAAATT